GGGATATGACGGACCTGAGACACCTGAGGTTTAGAGAACCTGAGACTCAGGTTCGAATCTTCGTCGAGGTATATTTCGGAATTCAATTTTCTGTCAAATTCTGCAAGTAGAATTTGAAAGTGCGTTGTTGGTGGCCTCAGGTTCCATCCCCGGGAACCCCATTTCTCACGTATTTTATTTGTCCATCCTGGAATCCTTGCTGTGATGGTAACGGATTCTGATCATGGAGGGTTGAGGGAGGGACCACCTGAGCAGCCAATGTCTTGAGGGGGAGTTTGGCGATACCACGATACATCATCTGAGCGACGATCAAAGCGGCGATCAACACAACGGTCTGAGCATCTCTCAAGGTGTTGCGTCCGATCAGTTGAATTCATCAATCGTGTGTGCTTGTGTGGAGTAGAGGGTACTATCGCATCTCTGTATTCCGGTGTTTTCGCTCATCTGTAGTTCCTCCGACGTCCCCTCTCGTGGCCACCTTGTCTATGCCCTCTTCGACCTCTTCTCATGAATTGTCTCAAGTTGGAACCGATGCGGCCACGATTGAGTCATTGGAAGAAGCGATTCCGCCCGAGTCACCGAAAACCCCGACCGGAGAGGTCGTCGATTGGAAGCTGAAGGCCATGTTCTGTTTCATCGGTTGTGTCGCTCTCGTCGGTTGGAATTTCATCCTGGGCGAGTTGGGTACCCTTATCGACGCCTTTGGAGCCGCATATGGGACGTGGATGTCTCTTTGTTATTCCCTCTGTGTCAATGCCGGTCAGTTGATGCTTGTATGGGTTGGCAATCGGTTCAAGTTCGGTCCTCGTTTCTATACAGGCTGCATCGGTATGGGTATCAGCATGATCCTGCTGGCCATATGTGCGATTACCTTCGCTCAGAACAATCAATGGGCAGGCTTTGCTGCCGGTTGTGTCCTCATCGGAATCTTTGGGTTTGCCAACTCCTTGATGCAGTCATCGATGTTCGGGCTAGCTGCTCTCGTCGATCCTGTCTGTACTGAATTCGTTCTTATTGGCGAAGGTCTTTCGGGTCTCATCGCATGGCCCCTTGATAGGCTCTGCCAGGCCATCTTGGAGGGCTGTGGTGTCACCGACTACCTCTACCCACGAATGGTCTTGTTCTATGGCCTTGGCATGCTCGCGAATTTCGCCACC